TCGTAATCAAGTTGATTTTATTTTTGGATCGTTTAATTAAACGATACATTTATTTCTATATACAATTAAGAATCTATTCTGTGCAAAATATATTTTAGGTACAATAATAATATAATAATAATAATATCGTGGCAAATAAAAAGATTCAAGTTATTTTAATCAGTCTTGTCTATGTAGCCTGGATCTTCATCATTCACAAAAAAGCTAAGAAAAAAGAAATGCCGGCATGTTAAAGAAGAGATTCAAATTTTTATCAAACTTGTCTATTTTAAATTAGTTATAAAAAATAGAAACACTAATAATATTTTTATAAATCTCGCCAGGGCAATGAGAGATATACATAAAATATGTGTATATATATAAAATTTGAAGTTAATCGGTTTATTAATTTCTAAACTATAACTATTGAGGACAAACATCGATACATTGCACTTTACATTTAAATGTTAATTATTTTTATATGAAACGCGTAGTAATAAGATAGTAACAAATATACAAACAATAAAATTTTACATTTTTATTTATGAAAAAAGATCCCAAAGATTTTCTATTTTTCAAGTATATTTTGAGAAAATATTTAAAGAAACTTCTTTGAGAAACACGTTGTATATTACATGCATACGACGAAAGTATTGGCGCAGATGGAACATATTGTAAATAATATAAAAGTTTTAATCACCAAATATAACAAGGAAAGTCGACTTTGAGTATATTTTTAATTTTTATTGATTATAAATTAAGTATTTTTTAACATTAACTTACGTATAACTAACCATGTATAACTCTCAAAGCTCACTTTCCTTGTTCTTCATTGATTTTAGTATCGAGAGTCTCTAGTTAATTGAATCAATTATCTAAAACTTTTGACTACTGAAATACACACACGGATATATTTGTACTCACTCCAAAAAGCTTCCAAAATTTCAATAGCTTTAAAGACATTTAAAGTCTTAACAATTTCAATTATAAATACCTTGTCTTAAAATTTTTAACAAAATAGTTACAGGAAAGCATGGTTACATAAAAAACAAAAATGGTAACTTTTCGAGAAACACATCATGTTTTCTACAGTATTGTGCAGGTTTTGCAGATTCTTTTGCAATTAATGATATGAAATGGGTAATTTTAATAGAATTTAAGTGTAAAATAGAATTTTTCAATATAATCTTAAATCTCTCGCACACGCGACCAGAATTAAAAGAATGAAAAAGACCGTATCTTCTAATCTGGATAATTCAATGGTCGCATGTGCGCATCGCGAAAGAGGTAGATAGCTTATACTGTCCTTTGGAGAACTGTGCTTCGGATGTTTCGTCTCCTTCAATTTCTTCCTCGTATACTTAAAGCTTTATTTATCTAAAGTCCATCACGTTTTTGCTTTCTTCTCAAGTATAAAAATGTGTGAAACAAATTTCAGCAACGATGTTGCGAATGTGTGCTATTTTTAATGTGAGTAACATGAGGGATCACAGCTTCGTTTACCTTACTTATTGAAAAAATAAGCACGAATCATAAGAAGAACTGTAATTAGCCATAATGGTAAAGTCAGCAACTATTAAGGGAATAATAATACGCTTGGTATTCCTATTTCACGGTTACGTCATTACATGGCAACTTGGCGTCAGCTTTATAATTCCCGTTAATCTGTCCGAATATCCCTGGAACTTGAGCTCTGCTACTAACTTGTTGCTGTTCTTCGAGGGTATTTACACCTACAAAATAAAGAAAAGTCAAACATGGAAATGGTATGTATGTCAACTATTGCAAATATTGTTCTGCTCTCAAGAAAACATATTTTTAATTAAAAATGATGAAATTAAGAACGATTCAATTTCTATGACTTTCCAAAAAAATATAAAAGGGCGAGTCGAGATTTCGATGTTCTAACTACAATAATTATATTGTATTTGTAAGTATAAATACATACAGGGAACTAAAAATGAAAAATATAATTTATTAAATTATAATTTTAAATAAATTTTATAACAAAATTTACAAAGTATTAAAATCAAATTATAGTTATTCATAATTTACAATTATGAATTATTTTTATAGGAATACAAACTTTATACTGGACTTAATATATGGTTTATTCAAATTAAAATATATAAAATGTACCAAGTAACTATACCTTTATATTCTTATATTTAATTCTCAATCATAAACTATTACAATTGTTAATTAATTCTGAATAGTAGATTTATAGATAAAATACCTATAAACATTTACAACAATTCTATGAATTACAAATGGGATAAGAAGTTTAGACAACAATGATATGTTTTAGCAAATATTGCTACATCAAGTAATTTAGATAAAAAATTATAAAATTATAAAATGTAAGTTCTTGAAGTATATTTAATATTATTAGTGTGTGTTTTCAAATTAGTTAAATTAGTTAATTTAAATTAGTTAAATTAGTTAATTTTAAATTAGTTAATTACTATAGTTAACTTACTGAAGTTAAAACACCTTAATTAATTACTTAAATTGCTTTGTAATAATTGTTTTAAAAGATAGTACTTTTATTTATTTTAAGATCAGTACTTTAGTTATTTTACTTTAGTTAATTACTAAAGGTACTTTGTAATAATTGTTTTCAAAGATACTATACTTTAGTTAATTATTTTTATTTTTAAAAATACATTACTTCAGTTAATTACTTTACTGAATTTACTTTAGATAATTTATTGTTTAAGTAATTTTATAATAATTGTTTTGAAAGATTTATTAATATCTTATAATAAATGACTGAATGCATGCAAATGTATGCTTTGCGACTGTAAAAACAAAATATTTAATATTAAGATTATATAACTAACTCCTCTTTTACTGTAATGTCATTACATTACCTTTTTATTTCTAACGGTTATTAATTGTATAGAATACGTTACTAATATTGCGTTAGGTACAATATTATTATATTATGGCGAAAGACTAGCGTAAAGAACGTGTATATCGTGAGACCATCTCAGTTTGTGATAGGTACAAATTGAAACATTAACAATTAACACGAGCCGAGTAATCCACTTTGTTTGGGGCGCAAGTAGTCCTACTAAAAATCATTGAAAATCATATTTGTTAAAAAAACCCTGATCTAATCTCGTTTACTTGGCTCGTTGATCAATTGAATTAAATTTAGCCCAGAATGCCTAAGCAGTACATATTTGCCTTTGAAAAGCCCTATGTAAAAAACAGTATTATGTACAATAATAACGAAGACAAATGTAAACAATAAATAATAAGGAGATTAACAATATAATAATATATTATAAAAAATAATATAAGATTAAAAAATGTGAAACATAAGAAAGAGGAAATATTGATACCATGGTGTGATATATACACAAATATTTTAGTGATTTATTTTTAATCATTAAATCACCTGTAGTAAATGGTAATGCGTAAGAGTTTCTTATTTATTACAATTATTATATTTCTAGGTTTCAGCCGTCTGTAATTTTATATCTTCTTAGCGTGCTGCCTACAATCTGGTACTTAGAAGGGATGAAAGCATTCAGTATAGAAAATAAAAGCGAAAGCTGTAGAAGGGAAGCAGAACGACGGCAGGACTTGTGTGACTTGATAAATCCAAATAATCCGTCACCTAATATGCCGATTATATTATATTATATAATTCGTGCTCATTGCTTTGATGTCGTGCGTATTATTTTTAACATTATATGCTGTTTATGAAACTTTAATAAAAAATATATTATTTTTTAAAACACATATGTGTATATACATAATAAACACACGCGTGTAGAAAAACTTGTTGAACTAAATCATTCAATGTTTAGTATAATGTTCCATCTTGTAATTGTATTTTTTCGAACAATACACCGATTTACTTGCAAGATTCAACTTTTTTTCTAAAAGGAATCGTATATTTTATTAAGCATAAGTCAATTTTTCTCATTATTTTCTGTATAAAAGTATAAGAAAAAAATTAGAAAATCGATACTTTGTCGGATATCACACATTTTATGCCATAAAATTATATTATTACATTAAAGCTTCTAGTCCCTCGCTGCAGTTGTTCTTGTTTAATTTTCTTAGAAGTGAAACATGACACGCTGAGAATTCTTATCATTTTTATTTTCAAATCGAAAGATGGAAAGCATTTCAGATCATTTTGGTATACTCATAAAATTTTTCGAAAATTATTCATTTTCTTCAGCAATAAATAGCCCTGATCAATAGCCATAAAATGAATGTGATACGGAATTTATGCACCTGTGCATAAACCTGCGAGGGGCCAGGAGTTCTAAATGCTTAAATGTATCACCTGACATCCTAAGCATGTTCTAAGCATTTTCTAATATATTTCTTTTATTTATCATAATATTGTTAAGTTAGTCTTCTATTTACATTAGAAGCTACTGTAATGAGAGATTACTAAAAAAATTAGCATTTCTTTGTCTCTTAAAAATCTAATAGTATTTATCTGAATCGTTTTTTCAAATAATATATTCCTTTAAAGATGGTAATTTTCAGTGACTTAATCCCTGAATGTGTTTTACTTAAAAAACAACAGTAAATTTATTAAAAACCGTAGTAATAATTTTATTAAAATTTATTAACTAACATAAAGGATTGTTCTATTCTATTCAACAGGATACCCGCGATTATTTAGAACATGCAGACATAGAATTGAACGATATAATCGGTTCTTATATTCACACCCAATTCTTGATGCTGAATCTGGTAATCAATCAATGGATGTTGAACAGTGATTTGACTCGAGATCAATTAAGCCAGCTGCTGTTATTTTACATTGGTACCGCAGCTGAAATCATGAATGTCTTTTCTCTCGCCTCCGAAAGAATAATAATGTTATTCGGATATATGATGATAGTGCCTCTCATCATGTGTACATGGTCCTTGGTGCAGTTCACAGTTGCGCCGACAGTCACCAAGTCGAAGAAATCTCGATTGTTGTCCGGTAATACTGCCAGGCAAAAAGTTCAAACGGAAACCAATGAAAACAGCATCGATTTACGAAGACTCTTTCTGGGAAACAAAAATATAATTTTTCAAGTATGTGCACGAACAATACATGTGAAAGCATCGGAGATAGTTGTACTGAATACATTTTTTGGATATCTTTCAATTGTTCACGTTCTCTGGTTCGTGAAGCATCTTCAGTAATAAATGAAAGTAACGTAGCGACAGTTCAAACTAAACAAAACATTGTTGTATAATATCTCTTATTTCTTCACAGCAACTTTTTTTTATTAATACTTTAATAACCAATTGTAACAATTTCTTTAATTAAATGCTTAAAATAGTTTCGATAAAGTTACGAAAAACATAACAATCCCTAGTAGCACAGTGCATTGGCTAAACATAAGCTAAATATTGGTCTAATGTTGGTTATATTAGAAATTCATTGGCCGATATTGTCCAACGCAAAGCCAATATTGGTCATGAAATAAATGTAAATATTGCACGATAATAATTAGATATATTAGATTTATATTGGAAGTTCATTTACCAATATTGAACAATGTAACAACAATGTAATAACAATATTGGTCTAATATTGCATCAATATTAGACCAATATTTCTAAACGAACATATTGGATGGACTAAATAAGAAAAGGCGTCCATCTTACAATATTGGACCAATTGGGAATACATAGATTTACATTATTTCCCAATATTGCGCCGATATATTGTGCTACTAGGGTATATAGTAGATTACGGCAAATCTAAAAATCTTTTTTTCTATTCTTCAGAAGTCTTACAATTGATTTGATTTAATAAATATATTTAACGTGTCTACATTAATGTATTGCAGGATGGACCGTTCCTGGTATTTCGTATAATAATGATAACAAATTTCGGTTTTGTTAGCAATATGACTATAATGTATACGTTAAAGAACGTAATAGTGATATTGCAACAATTGTGCCATTATTATGTACTATACATGGAGAAGAGAAACCTGAATAAGCAATGTAGCAAAATGGATGTGTCGAATATCAGTATTATTTCTCAAGGTGATATGTACAGAGATATAAGAATGAGAAATGTGAGATATATCAACAGGCCGAAAAATCAACGTGTTAAGGATGTAGTAGCAAATAATAGTGCGATCGGAGATTTGAATAAGATCAATTCTCTCCCCAAAAATGTCGTTCCTTCTAAACGGTTCGCATATTTTAACTATTTTTGAACTACTTGTAGGTGAAAAATAATTAAATTACAAGAAAGAATTATTTTGTGAGGCACAGGAATATCCATTTCTTAAAATTACTATAAGAATTATTTACAAAAAAGCAACTTTTCGAAACCTTTTGTTATTGCTTGTATTTATTTTTACGTTTTAAATGGAGTTAATCTCATTTTATAATAATTTACAAATAGCTAATTAAGGTATCAGAATTAATAATTTCGTTTCTTCCTATTCCGTCCGAGGTGAATAAAATTATATTTTTCTTATATTTTACATATCCTCTGTCCCCTCCCCCCTCTCTCCCTCTCATTACACAGTGGAAAATTAACACTATTAATTTTTTATAAGAATTGTAAAATATCGCTGAGGTGTAAATTGTAATGTTTTGAAATTTTAAGTTAAATAACTAAATTTTATAAAACTTTTCTATTTTATACAAGCAATTCCTTTTTCACAGGAAAAATGAATATTAATTTATAAAAATAGTTGTTAAAAATTTACTAATATAAATTTTGTT